AAAAAGTGAACTTCACCGCGCTTCTTTGACGACTACACTCAAAAATTCTAGTCTGTATTCAACTATAGATTCTTTTCCAATTTTTTTAAAATTCACTCTGTACTCTTTGATATAGCCCTACTTCCATTTTCCAAGAAGAACAACTAAGCTGATCTACACGTGAATTTGCAAAATTTGAGAGAAACTACTAAATTCATTGAAGTATCGCGAGTTCTAGTTAGCAATTCTTCCTTCTATGTGATATTAGGCATAATGCATTTGATCACTGGTAAATCATGTGTCGCCTTTTCACTACATCACTAAAGGTCATGACTTATGAAATTTAGTTCTTGAAACCCCTGGTGTAAACGCACACAATGCAAACGCGCTTGAGTAATTTCTCACCCAGATACTACTACAATGAAATCCATGATGTTCCATCCAGATCGAAGGTACGATCCTTTGTGAGCAATGAAACCAAACGCAATAATCTTTAGCACACATTCTAAGCAGAAAATACCCATGAAGTATGGCTCGGTGAGTTCCTAAATGAAGGGACTTCTGACATGGAAAAAACGAATTACATCAATTCCACTCAAGTGCTCGTGCTCTGCCGAAAGACGCGTCTCGAAAAACAATACTCTCCATAGCAATGTGATTCTCGAGTTTCTTGCGTTTCTATGTACTTTTCACATATGCAATGAGATCCAATTTCATCCAGCGCATACTTTTGCGGGAAAAACGAAAGTTGGAAGTCAGTTCGGCTCACCAGCATTTCCGAAAGCGGTTTTTTGTCGTTTTTTGGCAGGTGCTGCTCCATTGCCAGGACGACACAGTTTCCTGCAATGACTCGTCAGATATTCAGAAGTAAATGCATTCCCAACTAGGCCGCTGCGGTTTGACATCGGGTATCTACACAAAATTTTTCAAAACCAGTCATCTGAGCATACCAATGATGGTGAGTAGGATGAAGTACTCGAATGGACCCCATTCTATGATCGCTTTCGCGTTTCTCCGTATAAAGTTGTCCTCAGAAAATATGAACAACGACGATGGACCCTGTAAACACGGAAATCACCCTGGCTGACTATTACAAACTTGCTATGGCATCCAAGCCAGTCAGATTATCGCTTCGGCTGGGACTTCCGCCCTCAGTGCGTGTGAATTTTGAACGGATCGCTTAGGAGACCTTACGTCGTCAAGGCGTTGCGCATAGGTCTTTCGTCCTCAAATTCGTTTTGGGGACGAGAAACCCAAAGCCGTTAACGAATCGAAATGTTGAAGGGTGCTGATGGTTCGTAGCTAAAACGACTCAATGAGCTGCTCGAGAGAGAGGATGAGTTACCAATCGAATCAGGATTGAAAAAAACGTCGGCATACTGCCATGCTCAAACTTTAAGCGATAATATGACTAAAAGAGTTATTTTGAATGTGACGGGTATGCGGCAATGAGCATACCCGTCAAATTCATTCCTGTCAATGTTCACCTAGCACATGTTGAAACGTAATGTATAATATGAAAAGGCAAGTTGGAACGAAACTTTGAGATTAGACGAACGGCTGTCAAAAAGCATAATAGCCTTCTTGGAGATATTCTAGAGAAAGAAACTCAGAGTAAAGGAGCAAGTAGGAATGTCAAAAATCAAGAGTACTTTTTAGAATATTGCAACAATTCAGAACACATCTACGACCAAATCGTTATAGATGATAAGATCGCCAACCTTCTCTTTGACCGGTGCGTTTGAGGCAAGTGTGGATTTACGAACAGCAAATGGTCCGGCATCTGTCTTCTGCTCTCGTCGAGCCTCTTCCGCTGCCAATCTAAAGATTAGGACATTACATGGTTAGGAGAAGCTTATCTGGTCCATTGTGTGCTCTTGCCTATTCTACATCTTTTCAGAACACGAGCACACATTTTTTCTGACAAGAAAATAGACGTCAAATGGATGGTAGGTATAATAATAGAACGAGACCTGGCAATCTGGTCGATGCCTAACATTTTTCTGGATTTGGATCGATCACCTACGGATCGAGTGCCGTGCGTTGATGGTCCATGTGGATCGAAAGAAAAGTTGGCAGATCCGCGCGTGTGGCTAGGAGTACTTCTATGCTGAGGACACCGATCGATAGAGGCAGCGCGGCCAACGCGCCCAGGCCCAGAAATGGAAATGGATATACACGCACGCCCGGGAGTAGCGAGGGAAGTAGCTACGTAGCATCTTTCACGCTCATTCCGTCTCAGCAGCTGTCGCTGCCCGCTTTCTCACGCCAAACGACGGTCGTGCCTCGT